AAAGACATTTTTAAGCATGGATCTGAGAAAGTGACTGTACACATCTGACATTTTAGATATTTTGATGCTGTTTATGTTTGCGATTCTGTAACGCCAGTCGACAAGGTTTGAAGAAGGAATGTCGTCACCAAAAACCAAAGTCTTCACTTACCCAAAGACATTTTAAATATTGATCTTAGAAAGCGGTTTTATATAGCTGAGAGCTTAGTTATATCTGAAATAATTTGGCGGTCTATTTGACATCCATATGAATGTCTCTTTGGTTTTGTAGCAATTGTCGGTGATGGGTGAAACTATCTCAATGGCAGCAGCGTGCGAAATAAGTCATCAGCTTTGGGAGCTCATAAACGATTTCGAAAATCTTTCATCACTCAAATATGATACTTGAGAAGCTCTAACCCAGATATGACAGAAAAATTACATTTTTGGTCTAAAACACTTGTAAAAAAAAAAAAAAAAAAAACATGGCTTGGTGCTTTCTCGGCTAAACACCACACTTTCTTGATTAATCACCACACTTTATAGACAAAACACTAAACTTTCTAAAATTGTGACTTACGGCTACATCATATTTTAAGCACCGAATCCTGTAAGATCACACAGTTAAGCAAGTTTTAGTCTGGTCAGTAGCTAGACGGGTGACCGTATGGGAATAGATAGTGTTGCAAGCTTGGATATGTAGGTGGTGAAATTGATGATGATTCGATATTGTTAATCGGTGAGCCAAATTCTAATTCCAGTTCTATATATATTCACATACGTGAAGTTACCCTTTTGAAAGTTACGAATACACCAGTTCTCCCCACCAGCTATGGGTTAATTAATAAGACTTGTATCAGTAAAACCGTTATTATTATCTAAAATAAAATAAAACTGCGTACAAAATATTTAGATTCCCACATTACATAAAATATATGGATTGAAATGCGGCTAAACAAAACAATGAAAGAAAATTCTAAAATGCCGCTGGGGATTTTTATGCACGAACTAATATAAACTTCCACTTAATGTAAAAGAAGTCACAACTTGTCGGCACTCACATCAGCAGTAAAATATTTTCGAAGCTTAGCTGAATCTGGCATAAGGCAATCAATATCTCAATTTTTTTTAGAAAGAACCCATAAAATTAATAATTACTCTTCGTTATTTTTATTGGTCGTCGCAACATGTTATGTGAAGAGAGCACTCACTGCGAAATTTATGGTTTACTTGGCTTGCTTACTAAATTTACAACATGGTAGATTACATTGCTTGTTATTTTGTGGCGTGTCCAATCTGGATTCTAATGATCTCTAGGTAATTCCTCAGTTAGTACCCCAACGCTGTATCACAGGTTAAATCAACAACTGATTTTTTAGTAGTCTTATTACAGGACGAAAATATAATAGTAGTATAATATAATAGTATATTTAGTATAGTATAATAGTATAATATAGTATAATAGTAGTAACGTAATTTATTGGCGGAAACGACTGGTAGGAGAAAAGATGTCGACAAACCCATTACTTATCTGTGATCTGCGTATCCTCGGTTGTTGGTCTCTGTTGAAACTATGATAGGCAAATGAATCTGGGAGATAAAATATTCTTGACTTGTCTATTACTGCAAGAGTCTTGACTTTTCACGCGAAATTTTTTGGGTAGCTATTTTTTGTCATGTCAACGAACTCTCGTTGCCACTTTTGTTTCGCCAACGAATAATCGTTGTCACTTTCGTAATTCTCGTTGTAGTAGAGACTTTGTAATCGCAGATGCAACACTAGTAACGTCATTGAACAATACTAGTGTCAGAAGCCTTCGAATATCACTTTCAATAACAGTACTTGCTCGATATCACTCTCGCGAACAGTAATCCGTATAGTGAAATAATATAGAGAATAGAGTATATTAATAGAGAATAGTAATAGAGGATAGAATAGAAATAGCGATCCATTAGACACAAGCAACGTCTATGGGCATGTGTTCTACTAATTCAATAATAGGATCCCCTGTGTTTACTCAGTGGTGATCTATGTTCAAATTCAAGTATCAGCAGTGACAGTTTATTCTTATATAACACTATTACCATGTTCACGGAGTCACACCACCACTAATTAAGTGGTAAGAGTGGTAAGAGCATTTACCAACTAAGTGGCAAGTGGTAAGAGCATTTACAAGTACGGCAGGTTTTGCCATTTTTGTGTAGTGTATGCGTTTTCTAATTCACTATAATTATCGATTAAACATGGAGTTCTTTCTGAAGGCTACATTATTGATTGATTGGTTTCTTTATTTAACGGCATGTCGAATCTCATGGGTCATTTAATGTCGAAATTTAATTGAAATATTTTCAGCACAGTGTTATGACTTCAACAACCGATAAAATGCATTGTTGGTTATTTCGCTTGAAAATAATATTGTTATTTTTGCCATAAATATATGTTCATACTTTTAGAAATATTGATATGATTAAGCTGATCGTTGTTTTGAACTTAAATTTGTTCATCTCCTGAACTTGTTTACAATCTAAGCAACGGGACCATATCTACCCTGCTTCTAAAAGGTAGGTAGTTAGGAAGGAAGGAAACAAGCATTCATACATTTCTCTCGAATAGCGAGGAAAGGAAAATCACGGCCTCGATTGGAATTTGAAATTGACCAAACAATTTTCCGTACACATCCATATACAGGCTGATTGAAAAGAAATTACTTATTTTATCTATGATGGACACTCATGCATAAAACGGGGAATTACTTTTCAATCACCCTCTATATATAACAAAACCATTGCTAGTTCAGCTACTAAGAAAGTTGATGCACTGTGTCGTGCGAGTTAATTTTACCCTCCAGAATCTATTTTACATATCTATGTCTACCATTCGTCCATACGTGGAATATTGCTGCCATATATATATATATATATATATAACCCCTGTTATTTACCTTGAGCTCCTTGATAAATTCCACAGAAGAATCTGTAATATTACCAGTTCTGACCTGGCACTTTCAGTCACTTTCCCACCGGCTTAAGGTTGCCTTCCTATTTCTTTTCTATAAATACTTCCATGGTAATTGTTCAGCTGATCACTTCGCTAGTGTACCTCGATTTTTTGAATTTAAGCGTCGTACTAGACTGGCGTTGCGATCTCATTAATTTACAACTCAGCTGGCTCGATATAGTCGTAAATTCTATGCTAACAGTTTCTTTTCTCGCACTTCTTGCTCGTGTAACTATCTTCAAGTTTCATGCTTTTTAGCCTAGTCATACATAAAATAGATGGGGACAATAGTCGGAATAATGTAAATAAAGTTGGCATCTATTTGTAAAACTTTCATTAATTATAACAGGACTGCCCCCACGTCCGACCAATTAATTTTTTGCAGTCATATTCTTTGACCAAATATATTGAACGTCTACAGCCACGTCAACATTTCATAAATGGTGAACATTAATCCCATAGAAAAACAATTAATTTTTTCCTAGAAATATTACCAGATAGCAAGCGGGGGAAGGCTACTAGTGTTGAATAAATCCTAAGTAAAAGCGAACTCCCAGAACTTAATTTCTGAAACCGTAATAGTTTATATGTAACCGCCGGCGTTCAATTGTCTGATTATGAACTTTATTCTCAGAGATATTCCGAAAAAAAAACTTTGTTGGTTAAGAGATACTACAAAATTATTTAATATTGTGGAATAATTTAAGTTACATTCGGGCCGCTTACGGCCACCCACAGTTATTCATTCTTTCGTGGGAGCTTAGAAGACACAAAGTCTGGTAGGAGTCGACGAATAATGGAGAGAATTGCAAGCAGCTGCCATATTTCGATTGATAAGTAGATTCTGGCCTTGTCTGCGTAGAGCATTCAACAATCTGTCGACAGCATTTTCTGATACTCCTTTATGTATTTCTCCTGTTCTTTGTCTAATTACTCTCAGAACGAGTGAGATGACAGCAAACGCTTGAATGAAACGTGTCTTTTAGCATTTCAAAGATTTAAACTGAAGTAAAAGGAAAAGAAGAAAGAATGAACAGAAAGAAAGAATTAAAGAAAAGAAAAAGTAAGGAAGGAAAGAAAAGAAAGTATAGAAAAAGGAAAGAAAAGAAAGAAAAAAGAAAGGAACATGGAATGGAAGAAAATGAATAAAGAGAACGACAGAAAAAAAAATGAAAGAATGAAAGGAAAGACAAAAAAGGGACAGAAAGAAACAATTAAATAAAGAAAAAGTGAAAAATGAAAAAGAAAGAAAGAAAAAAAAGAGAAGAGAAAGATAAAAATGAAAGAAATGTCAGAAAAGAAATAATAGCAAATTGAAAGGCAAGAAAGAAATAAAGAAAAGAAAAAAGCGAAATGGGAGAAAGTGAAAGAAAAAAAAACGAAGGAATAGAAACGAGAGAAAAAAAAGAAAGAATGAAAGAAAAGAAAAAAGGGACAGAAAGAAACAATTAAATAAAGAAGAAGTGAAAGATGAAAAAGAAAGAAAGAATGAAAGAGAAGAGAAAGAAAAAATGAAAGAAATGTCAGGAAATAAATAATAGCAAAGCGAAAGAAAAGAAAGAAATAAAGAAAAGAAAAAAAAGCGAAATGGGAGAGAGTGAAAGAAACAAAACGAAGGAATAGAAACGAGAAAAAAAAGAATGAAAGAAAAGAAAAAAAGAATGAAAATAAAGAATAGATAAAAAAGTAAGACAACGAAAGAAAGAAAGAAAATGACAAAGAGAAAAGCGAATAAAAAGACAGAAAGAAAGAAAGAATGAATGCATAAAAGACACGAAAGAAAACAGAAAAAAAATATCGAATTAAAGACAAGAAAGAAAAAAGGCAGTGGAAAGAAATAACAGAAAAATGAAAAAAAAAAGGAAAAAAAGTAATAATGATAAAAGAACGAACGAAAAATGGGAAAGAAAGTAAAGAAAGAAAAATAGAATCAAGGAAGAAAAAGAAAGAAAGAACAAAAATATGAAAATTTGAGAAAAAAGAAATAATAAATGAAAAACAAGTAAGAAACAGAAAAAAAGAATTAAAGAAAGAAAAAAGCCAGAGAGAAAGAAAGAAAGAGCAAAAAAATGAAAGAATGTATGAAATAAACTAGGAAAGAAAGTAAAGAAGAAAATAATGTATTAAAAGCAAGAAAGAAAGAACGAAAGAAAGAGAAAACAGTGAAAAACAGAAAGAATGGAAAGAAAAAAGAAAGAAAAAATAGAAAAAAGTCAGAAAAAAGAAGAGAAAAAAAGATAGAAAGAAAGAAGAGAAAAAAAGAAAGAAAAAGAAAAAAGACAGAAAAAAGAAGAGAAAAAGAAGAAAGAAAGAAGAAAAAAAAGACAGAAAGAAAGAAGAGAAAAAAGATAGAAAGAAAGAAGAGAAAAAAGACAGAAAGAAAAGAAAAAAAGAAAAAAGAAAGAAGAGAAAAAGAAGAACGAAAAAGAGAAAAAAAAAAAAGAAGGAAGAGAAAAAAAGAAAGAAAGAAGAAAAAAAAAGAAAGAAAGAAAGAAAAAAAAAGAAAGAAAGAAGAGAAAAAAAGACAGAAAAAAGAAAGAAAAAGACAGAAAAAAGAAAGAAAAAGACAGAAAGAAAGAAGAGAAAAAAGACAGAAAGAAAGAAAGAGAAAAAAGACAGAAAGAAAAGAAGAGAAAAAAAAGAAAGAAAGAAAGAAGAGAAAAAAGATAGAAAGAAAGAAAGAAAAAAAAAGAAAAAAAGAAGAAAAAAAGAGAAAAAAAAGAAAAAAAGAAAGAAGAGAAAAAAACAGAAAGAAAGAAAGAAAAAAGATAGAAAGAAAGAAGAGAAAAAACAGAAAGAAAGAAGAGAAAAAGATAGAAAGAAAGAAGAAAAAAGACAGAAAGAAAAAGAGAAAAAAAAGAAAAAAAAGAAAAGAAAGAAAGAAAGAAGAAAAAAAGAGAAAGAAAGAAGAGAAAAAAAAGACAGAAAAAAGAAAGAAAAAAGAGAGAAAGAAAAGAGAAAAAAGACAGAAAGAAAAGAAAAAAAAAGACAGAAAGAAAGAAGAAAAAAAAAAGAAAAAAAAAGAAGAAAAAAAGAAAGAAAAAAAAAGAAGAAAAAAAAGAAAAAAAGAAAGAAAGAAAGAAAAAAAAAAAGAAAGAGAAAAAAAACAGAAAAAAAAGAAAAAGAAAAAAAAGAAGAAAAAAAGACAGAAAGAAAGAAAAAAAAAAAGAAAGAAAGAAAGAAGAAAAAAGACAGAAAAGAAAGAAAAAAAAGACAGAAAGAAAGAAGAGAAAAAAGACAGAAAGAAAGAAAAAAGAGAAAAAAGACAGAAAAAAAAAAAGAAGAAAAAAAGACAGAAAGAAAGAAGAAAAAAAAAGACAGAAAAAAGAAGAAAAAAGACAGAAAAAAAGAAGAAAAAACAGAAAAGAAAGAAAAAGAGAAAAAAGACAAAAAAGAAAGAAAGAGAAAAAGACAGAAAGAAAGAAAGAAAAAAGAAGAAAGAAAAGAGAAAAAAGACAAAAAAAAAGAAGAGAAAAAGAAGAAAGAAAGAAGAGAAAAAGACAAAAAGAAAGAAGAAAAAAAAGACAAAAAAGAAAAAGAAGAAAAAAAAGACAGAAAGAAAAAGAGAAAAAAAAGAAAGAAAGAAAGAGAAAAAAAACAGAAAGAAAGAAGAGAAAAAGAAAGAAAGAAAAAGAGAAAAAAGAAAGAAAAAGAAAGAAAAAAAAAAGAAGAAAAGAAAAAGAAAAAAAAGAAAAAAGAAAGAAGAAAAGAAAGAAAAAGAAGAAAAAGAAAAGAAAGAAAAAAAGAAAAAAAAAGACAGAAAAAAAGAAGAGAAAAAAAAGAAAGAAAGAAGAGAAAAAAAGAAAAAAAAAGAAAAAAAGAAGAAAGAAAAAAGAAAAAAGAAAAAAAAAAGAAAAAAGACAGAAAAAAGAAGAGAAAAAAAGATAGAAAAAAAAAAGAAAAAAAGACAGAAAAGAAAGAAAGAAAAAGAAAAAGAAAAGAAAAAAAAGAAAGAAAGAAGAGAAAAAGACAGAAAAAAGAAGAGAAAAAAAGAAGAAAGAAAGAAGAGAAAAAAGATAGAAAGAAAGAAGAGAAAAAAAAGACAGAAAAAAAAGAAGAGAAAAAAAAAAAAGAAAAGAAAAAAAGAGAAAAAAGAAGAGAAAGAAAAAAAAGAAAAAAAAGAAAAGAAAAAAAAGAAAGAAAGAAAAGAAAAAAGACAGAAAGAAAAGAAGAAAAAAAAAGAAAGAAAAAAAAATAGAAAGAAAAAAGAAAAAAAGACAGAAAGAAAGAAGAGAAAAAAGACAGAAAGAAAGAAGAGAAAAAAGACAGAAAGAAAGAAGAGAAAAAAAGACAGAAAGAAAGAAGAGAAAAAAAGACAGAAAGAAAGAAGAGAAAAAAAGATAGAAAGAAAGAAGAGAAAAAAGAAAAGAAAGAAAGAAAGAAAGAAAAAAAAGAAAAGAAAAGAAAGAAGAAAGAAAAAAGAGAAAAGAAAGAAAGAAAGAAGAGAAAAAAGAAAGAAAGAAAGAAAGAAAAAAAAGATAGAAAAAGAAAGAAAGAAAGAAAAAAGAAAAAGAAAAAAGAAAAAAAAAGAAAGAAAGAAAAAAAGAAAAAAGAAAGAAAAAAAGAGAAAAAAGATAGAAAGAAAGAAGAGAAAAAAAGACAGAAAGAAAGAAGAGAAAAAAAGATAGAAAAGAAGAGAAAAAAGACAGAAAGAAAGAAGAGAAAAAAAGATAGAAAGAAAGAAGAGAAAAAAGACAGAAAGAAAGAAGAGAAAAAAGACAGAAAGAAAGAAGAGAAAAAAAGACAGAAAGAAAGAAAAAAAAAATTTCAAGAAAAAAAGAGAAAAAAGAAAAAGAAAAAAAAGAAAAAAAGAAAAGAAAAAAGAAAAGAAAGAAAGAAGAGAAAAAAAATAAAAGAAAGAAGAGAAAAAAGAAAGAAAGAAAAAGAAAAAAAAGAAAGAAAGAAAGAAGAAAAAAGACAGAAAGAAAGAAGAAAAAAAGACAGAAAAAAGAAAGAAAAAAAGAAAGAAAAAAGAGAAAAAAAAAGAAAGAAAGAAAGAAAAAAGACAGAAAAAAAAAAGAAAAAGACAGAAAGAAAGAAGAAAAAAAGACAGAAAGAAAGAAGAAAAAAAAAGATAGAAAAAAAAAAAGAGAAAAAACGAAGAAAAAAGAAAAGAAAAAGGAAAGAAAAAAAAAAAGAAAAAAGACAGAAAGAAAGAAGAAAAAAAGACAGAAAGAAAAGAAGAAAAAAGACAGAAAGAAAGAAGAGAAAAAAAAGAAAGAAAGAAAGAAAAAAAAAGAAGAAAAAGAAAAAAAAGAGAGAAAGAAAGAAAAAAAGACAGAAAGAAAGAAGAGAAAAACAGAAAGAAAAAAGAAAAGAAAAAGAGAAAAAAAGAGAGAAAGAAAGAAAGAAAGAAAAAAAGACAGAAAGAAAGAAGAAAAAAAGACAGAAAAAAAGAAGAGAAAAAAGACAGAAAGAAAGAAGAAAAAAAGACAGAAAAAAGAAAAAAAAAAAAAAGAAAAGAGAAAAAGAAGAAAAAAGAACAGAAAAAAAGAAAAAAAGAAGAGAAAAAAAAGAAAGAAAGAAAAAAAAAAGAAAGAAAAAAAGAGAAAAAGACAGAAAGAAAAAGAAAAAAAAAGAAAAAAGAAAGAAGAAAAAAAAGAAAGAAAGAAGAGAAAAAGACAGAAAGAAAGAAGAGAAAAAGACAGAAAAGAAAGAAAGAAAAAAGACAGAAAAAAGAGAAAAAAAGAGAAAGAAAGAAGAGAAAAAAAAAGAAAAAAAAGAAAAAAAAAAAGAAAAAAAAAGAAAAAAGAAAAAAAAGAAAGAAAGAAGAAAAAAGAAGAAAGAAAGAAGAGAAAAAAAGACAGAAAGAAAGAAGAGAAAAAAAACAAAGAAAAGAAGAGAAAAAGACAGAAAGAAAGAAAGAAAAAAGACAGAAAGAAAAAGAAAAAAGAAAAAAGAAAAAAAAAAAGACAGAAAGAAAAAGAAAAAAAGACAGAAAAAAAGAAGAGAAAAAAAAAGAAAGAAAAAGAGAAAAAAGAAAAGAAAGAAGAGAAAAAAGAAGAAAAAAAAAAGAGAAAAAAAAAGAAAGAAAGAAAAAGAAAAAGACAGAAAAAAAAGAAGAGAAAAAAGAAGAAAAAAAAAAAGAGAAAAAAAAAAAGACAGAAAAAAAAAAGAAAAGAAGAAAGAAAGAAGAGAAAAAAGAGAAAGAAAGAAGAGAAAAAAGACAGAAAAAAGAAGAGAAAAAGACAGAAAGAAAAAAGAGAAAAAAAGAAAGAAAGAAAAAGAGAAAAAAAAGAAAAAAGAAAGAAGAAAAAAAAGACAGAAAGAAAAGAGAAGAAAGAAAAAAAAAGAGAGAAAGAAAGAAGAGAAAAAAGAAGAAAGAAGAGAAAAAGAAAGAAAGAAAAAAAAAAGAAAATGAAAGAAGAAAAAAGACAGAAAGAAAGAAGAGAAAAAAACAAAAAGAAAAGAAGAGAAAAAAGAAAGAAAGAAAGAAGAGAAAAAAAGAAAAAAGAAGAGAAAAAATAGAAAGAAAGAAGAGAAAAAAGACAGAAAAAAGAAAGAAAAAATATAGAAAGAAAGAAGAAAAAAAAGAAAAAAAGAAGAAAAAAAAGATAGAAAAAAAGAAAGAAAAAAAAGACAGAAAGAAAGAAGAGAAAAAGACAGAAAGAAAGAAGAGAAAAAAAAGAAAAAAAAAAAAAAAAAAAAAGAAAGAAAAAGAGAAAAAAGAGAAAAAAAAAAAGAAAAAAGAAAGAAAGAAGAGAAAAAAGACAGAAAGAAAGAAGAGAAAAAAAGATAGAAAAAAGAAGAGAAAAAAAGACAGAAAGAAAGAAGAGAAAAAAGACAGAAAGAAAGAAGAGAAAAAAAGATAGAAAAAAAGAAGAGAAAAAAGACAGAAAGAAAGAAGAAAAAAAGAAAGAAAGAAAGAAAAAAAAGAAAAAAAAGAACAAAAAAAGAAAAAAAGAAAGAAAGAAAGAGAAAGAAAGAAAAAAAACAAAAAGAAAAAAGAACAGAAAAAAAGAAAGAAAAAAGAAAGAAAGAAAGAAAGAAGAAAAAAAGACAGAAAGAAAGAAGAAAAAAAAGACAGAAAGAAAAAAGAGAAAAAAAGACAAAAAGAAGAGAAAAAAGACAGAAAGAAAGAAGAGAAAAAAGACAGAAAGAAAGAAGAGAAAAAAGATAGAAAGAAAGAAGAGAAAAAAGACAGAAAGAAAGAAGAGAAAAAAGACAGAAAGAAAGAAGAGAAAAAAGACAGAAAGAAAGAAGAGAAAAAAAGAAAGAAAGAAAAAAACCAGAAAAAAAGAAAAAAGACAGAAAGAAAGAAAGAAAGAAAAAAAAAGAAAGAAAAGAAAAAAGACAGAAAGAAAAAAAGAAAAAGAAAAAAAGAAAAAGAAGAGAAAAAAGATAGAAAGAAAGAAGAGAAAAAGAAGAAAGAAAGAAAGACAAAAAAGATAGAAAAAAAGAAGAGAAAAAAAGACAGAAAGAAAGAAGAGAAAAAAAGACAGAAAGAAAGAAGAGAAAAAAAAATAGAAAGAAAGAAGAGAAAAAAGACAGAAAGAAAGAAGAGAAAAAAAAGAAAAAAAGAAGAGAAAAAAGACAGAAAGAAAGAAGAGAAAAAAAGACAGAAAGAAAGAAGAAAAAAAGACAGAAAGAAAGAAGAGAAAAAAGACAGAAAGAAAGAAGAGAAAAAAAGACAGAAAGAAAGAAGAGAAAAAAGACAGAAAGAAAGAAGAGAAAAAGATAGAAAAAAAGAAGAGAAAAAAGAAGAAAAAAGAAAGAAAAAGAAAGAAAAAAAAAGAGAAAAAAGACAGAAAGAAAGAAGAGAAAAAAGATAGAAAAAAGAAGAGAAAAAAGACAGAAAAAAAGAAGAGAAAAAAGATAGAAAGAAAGAAGAAAAAAAAAGAAAGAAAAGAAGAGAAAAAAGATAGAAAGAAAGAAGAGAAAAAAAAATAGAAAAAGAAGAGAAAAAACAGAAAGAAAAAGAGAAAAAGAAGAAAAAAGAAGAAAAAAAAAGAAGAAAAAGAAAAAAGAAAGAAAGAAAGAAGAGAAAAAGACAGAAAAAAGAAAAAAAAAGAAAGAAAAAAGACAAAAAAAGAAAAAGAAAAAAAAAGACAGAAAGAAAGAAGAGAAAAAAACAGAAAGAAAAAAAAGAAGAAAGAAAAAAGAAAAAAAAAAGAAAGAAGAAAAAAAGACAGAAAGAAAGAAGGGAAAAAAGACAGAAAGAAAGAAGAGAAAAAAAGACAGAAAGAAAGAAGAGAAAAAAAGACGGAAAGAAAGAAGGGAAAAAAGACAGAAAGAATGAAGAGAAAAAAGAAAAAGTAGAAAGAGAAAGAAAATTAAGAAAATAAGCCATGTAAAGTAAGAAAGGGAAAAAAAGAAATTTATACAGTGGGTTGTGAAATTGATGATATTATAAGGATGAGTTCAATCACTGGTCTTGGCTGTGCAAACATAGATTTAATTCAGTTATAACTGAGAAGTACTACATAATAATTAGACGTGATATCCCGAGAGATGTACAGCGAAACGAGAACAATCTATTAACGTTGCTAAAATGAAGTTTCCAGTTCGAAAATTTCGTGACGGTGACAAGGATCTGATGAAAACCAGATTGCATAAGGGGATAAGCTGGAATAATCTGTATATAAAATATTTACAATGAGGAATATTCGTATTTTTTTCAATTTTTATATTTGCGCTTTTTGTTTCATAAAAGCAATTTTTTTCAATTGTATATTTTGCAATTCATAATCATAATTGTTTTTCAATTGTATATTTTGTAAATTTTATTTTTATTGTTATTTTTGAATGTATGCATCTTTGTATTTTTGTTTATATATATATATATATATGTGTGTGTGTGTGTGTGCGTGTGATGCGCAGACAGTACTGTTTCGCTGCATCATAGTTCCTCAATGCGACTAGACATCCGAAAGCCTCATGCTAGGATCGAAACCTGACCGACTTGGTGTATCGACAGAGAGAAACTACTAATTCTAGCCTATTTTTTTTTTTTTTTTTGAATGTAAAAAAGGCTCGTATTTATTTTACCGAAGGCGGCTGCCGTTTGAAGAATTTGTCTGTCTCGCCAAAGTGCTCAATTGAAATATATGGTTCATTTATTTATTTGGATGAATTTAGGTCAATTTAATTTAATTGTTATTATTTATTTGTATATTTTCTCTTATCGGTTTTCGATTTTTAGATAACGTAGTATTTTTTTTTTAACAGTTACAGCTTTTTTTTGGTTCGATTTTTTGTTTTGATTTTTATAGTCTAACTAATATTTTGGTCATAATCGTTTGCTAATTTGTTTAGTATTTACTTTATTTATTTAGGCTCGTTGTTTGTTCTTGTTTTTTTTTATAATTATTATTCCATTTCGTCTATTCTAACAGGTGTGATTTGGTAATTTGTTTGGGTTAAGTAATTTTGCTTATTTTATTGTTATTTTGTTTATTTATTTATTTTTATTTTATTTTGTTTCCGTTTTTTATTTTTAAGTAACGGGTAAAAATTTGTTTTCATGTGTGCATTTAGAGATGAACTTGGATCTTTTATTTAATTATTTATTTTGTTCTGGGAA